CTTTGAAGGTGTTACAATTCTGAGGGTGCCTTAAGGATTGTTAATGTTCTGTATCTTTGGGCAATAAGGATTATATCCATGTCCTTCTATACACATACTTGCAAACATTTTACGACATACATCATTATGCCTGTTTAACAAGGAAACACAATATTTAGAAAATTGGTGCTATGCTCAGCAGAAAACGAAAGCAATAACTAAAGCAATGAATAAAAACTACTTAAGCAAGTCTAGGACAAGGCTTCAGGCATACAGGCTTCGGGCTTCTGGGAGATGCCAATTTGTCAATGTAAAATACATAAAAAAATATCCGATTATCCTTTAAGTTTTATTTGTCACAAAGGACTTACATGGCATTTTATTGTATATCAATTTACTGGGTTTGTGGAAAACATCTAAAAGAACAAGCTTCATACCTTTTGTGTTCTGTTCATGCTGATCTTTTCCAAGACACAGTTTCTTCAGCTCCGATTGACCATCAAGCAACTGTGTGATCCCTTCTAACACTCTCTTAAATCCAGCTCCCATTGTATCCTTCACATCTTTGTCATAATCGCTCCATTCTTCCATAATGCCCTGGTATTTCGTAAGTAAATCGGCATCAAGTGGTTCAGACAAGATGGCATCATAGTCCTCATTTGTGAACCTACTAGAGAGAGCCAAGAGATTGGATTTTAACCCTGAAAAATGTGTACTGAAATCTTGATCGCTGATCGCTGCCTTGTTTGCATGGCCATACACGGTATTTCGATATCTTTTAATTCGTCCTATAGTGGCTTCTCTTGATGTGTCTGCGTCAGATGGGTTGTCCCATGCATTCAGCTGAGGACGAGGGTTCAACGAGGTGATGTTCCTCAGCAAAAGCACAATCAGTGTTAGGTCTAAGTCACCAACAGTTACTGATGTGGAGGGATTCCCAGCAGGATACAGCTGTTCCTGTTGGTGACGATTGAAGACCTTTGGTGATAATCTAAACAGTACAGTCTTGACAGTTCCATCTCCAAGCACCTTGTTCAACAACCCTGTGTTGGGGTCAAATAAATTGGGATACTTTTTTCGTAGCTCTCCCCGGAGAACATCTTGCAATACTTTCAGGGCATAATCTACAATTAAAATGCTCATGCGGAAGAAATTCTCCTGGTCTGAGTTGGTGTATGTTTTTGCTGTTGCCATGGTGCTTGTCACTAAAACACGCTTCACTGCCTCATCTGGAATGTAAAGACTAAGTCAACACACGCCTCATGCTACAAATCCCATAATTCACTACGTAAATCATTAATATTTCTGATATGTTCATTAAGAATTAACTGAAAACAAGCAATTATGCTTCCATTCAAACTTCAAGTTAATGGTTGATGTTACAATGTGTACGTTCTAAATGAATGTGTGCTTTACTTTTCACACCTGAACTCACAAACTTTTTCCGACCCGAGGTCGGCGATTACACGCTGCGCATCAAATAAAATTTCTATATTTCTAATCTATCGGTAATTGATACTCTTATTTCATAATCCAATACGAAAGGGTATATTTTCATCAACACCGTGAAGTGCTAGAACATGGATAAGCAGAAATTGTCCTCTAGACCGTTAACATGTAAATTAAATTGTATCACAAGCGATGAATACTTTATTCGTCTCTGATACTCCTAACCAAAATGTTCAAAGTGACTTTATCTTTGTCACATAGTGGTGCGTCATGCACATTATGTAATATTATCCAATTAGAATAAAGCGCGGCTGTGTGCTGCAGTTGAGTAATTATTAACAACGTGTCTTCTGGTGTGCGCTCCTCCGCTCGTAACATTACATGGTGTCAGAAGTGGGATGAATGACTTCAAGCCCCCACCATAGTTCTCTTTTGATGGCGATGTTAGCCAGAATTGGAGGGAATGGAAACAAATGTTCCAACTGTTTCTGGTAGCCAAAGAAGCAGTGGAGAAAACAGACGCCACAAGAAATCGCCATGTTACTCACGTGCATGGGACCGGAAGGAGTAAAACGTTTCAACCAGTTTAACTGGAACGAAGCAGGTGATAAAGAGAGTTACGAGAGAGTCTTAGATAAATTTGACACTGAACTGTGCGGTCAGAAGAGGATCGTTTTAATAGATACAGCTTTTGGAACTTAAAGCGAGACTCTATGCCTTTTGACGATTACCTGGTAAAGGTCAAGGCAACAACCACTTCAAAAGTTGTTGTAGAGCTACTGTAAAAGTCCATGAACTAAGTAATGACGATAACAGTGCGGTTCAACACAGTGCTCAGTATTTTATGGGAACAATAGAGCTGAGCATAGGCAGTGTGTCCAGGAATGAAGATCAGCGTGTATGGTTTGAAAATGTAAAGGTAGCTGACTCTCATATTAGAATGAAGATAGACACAAGTGCAGAAACCAGGGGCCAATTCCATAAAAGCATTCTAACTTAGCATGATACTAGGCCTTAGAATGATTCTAAATCTCTAGTTGTATACTTGTTAGCAATCAACTAATTTCTATTCCATAAAACCAAACTAAGAATCATTCTAACTAGTTGCTTGCTAAGATTTGGCTAGAATGGTGTATTCATAGGAAAACCACAAAACCACAGGGTCAGTTACACCAAACAAAAGGCAGTGACAGTGAAAGTTGAGCTGATTGCAGGCTGAGGGAAGTACTGGTCAAGGCATTACCATGTATTCTATAAAAGCCCTATACAGAAAGGGGACAAAATGGCAACTTCAGGGAAGAGACAACGAAAGCCCAATTATTCAACACAAGAAAATCTCTTTATTGTGTTATTTATTTATTATTTATTTTGTGGTCACAGATAACTTGCACATTGGTTGAATGATATCCTTTTCTGTTCACATAGTCAGCTTCGTAACAGTGAGGGGTGTTAATCCAAATGTGAGTACCATCAACACAACCTATCACACCTGGGAAGTGTATGTTTCTCCTATAGAACCCATCTTTGATGTTGGCCATATTTTGTGCATTTGGAAATTCCACATAATCCCCAATCCTTGCTGCAAGAGCATTTGATACATGATGAATTGCACGGCAAGCGGTTTGCTGGGACACTTGCAAAGGGTCCCCAACAACATATTGGAATGTGCCTGTTGCATAGTATTGCAGGGCTATCATTACCTGCTGGCATGGTAATAAGGCATGATTTCTCCTGGTTGGATGAGTAATGTCATTTTTGACAATGTCAGTTATCAGCAAAAATGCCTTCTCTGGAAAATCGGTATCTTTTTACAAGTTCCACATCATCAAAAATGTCCAACGGATTCCTTCTATCCCGAAACACTCGTTCCCGACGCATTGCTCTGCGGAGTTCCACTATTTCTAAAATTCTCCTGACCATCCTTACACCTCGGAGGTGTGGGTAGAAATGAATTAGAATGATACTAGTGATTTAGAAGAGACCCAGACCTACTCTAACTTTAGCATGAAACTTAGAACTATACTAGGCTTAGAATGGTTTTATGGAATAGAGTTAGTAGGTAACTAGAGATAGAATGAAGTTTAGCAACCAACTAGGGCTTAGAATGGTTTTATGGAATTGGCCCCAGATCAATACCCCAGAAAATATGGAGAAAGATAGCAGGTAGACCCAAACTAGAACAATCTCATACCATACTTAGAGCGTTTGGTGGTGCAGTGGTAGAGCACATTGGCAGAGCGAAAGTAGATATGAGCATGTCAAATGGACGTAAAACCATTGGAGAAGTATTTGTTACAAAACAAAAAACAATGCCAGTGATGGGACTGCAAGCTTGTATTGCTCTAGGTCTTGTTTCAGTGGAGAAACAAAGGAATCTTGACTCAGTAACTGCATCAATTACACAAGATTCAATAGAAAAGGGAGCTTATAAAAGTGCTTTCACAGGCCTGGGAAAGTTCCCTGGACAGTATCACATCTCATTGAAGCAAGGTGCCAAGGGTCACATTGCTCCTACACACAGAGTTCCACAGAAGTTGATGGCCCCATTGAGAAATAAACTTGAAGAAATGGAGAGACAAGGAGTTATTGAGAAGGTGGACCACCCCACAGATTTTATTAGTAATATTGTCATAGCAGAGAAGAAAGACGGTTCCATAAGGTTGTGCCTCAACCCCCAACATCTCAACAAAGAGATAAGAAGAGAACATTTCAATATGCCAACATTCGAATCAGTTGCAGCGCAGATAGGAGGAAGTAAAGTCTTCACCATCATCGATCTCAAGGATTCCTACCAAGTGGAATTAGATGACTCCAGTTCAGAACTTACTACTTTTTCCACACCTTTTGGACGCTATAAATTTAGACGAATGCCATTTGGAATTATGAGTGCTGCGGATATTTTGCAGAAAAATGTTTACCGTGTCTTTGGTGACATTAGAAATACATACGCTATAGCAGATGACATTCTGATAGCAACAGAGACAGTTGAGGAACACGATCAAATCCTGGGAGAAGTGATTAAACGTGCCATGGAGAACAATGTTCGTTTTAATGCCAAGAAAACGCAGTTAAAACAAAACAGTGTATCATATTTTGGGATGATTGTTGGAGCACAAGGAATCCGACCAGACCCAGAGAAGATTCGCTCAATTCTGGAAATGCCAGACCCAACTGATACTGAGGCAGTGAAGCGTTTAACAGGAATGTTGAATTTCCTATCACCATTTATTCCAAATAACTCTTCTACCATGAGTCCAATCAGCAGTTTGTTGAAAGCTGGAGTACCTTGGAATTGGGGACCAGAGCAGAAAGCTGCCATGCAACAAATAAAAGATGTACTCTCAGAAGAACCAGTGCTGAAGTTGTTTGAGCCATCCAAGCCAGTGACGATACAAGCAGACGCGTCATCTACGGGAATAGGTGCATGTCTGTTACAAGATGGTCAACCTATTGCTTATGCCTCACGTGCATTAACTGATACGGAGACGAGATACGCACAGATCGAGAAGGAACTTTTAGCTATTTTGTATGCAGCAACTTAGTTTCACCATTATATTTATGGCAGTGAGGTTATGGTGGAGAGTGATCACAAACCTCTAGAGGCAATTATAAGGAAACCACTACATCAGGTGTCTCCTAGAATGCAAATGATGTTGTTAAAATTGATGAAATACAATCTATGTGTGACATATGTACCAGGTTCAAAGTTGCCCATTGCAGACACGCTGTCACGTGCGTATGTTGATGACACATCTAAGGAGAGCATAGATTCTCAGTTAGAAGAGGGACAGTACAGGACTCATACTGTTACTCAGTATTTGCCAGCATCCACGCACAGGATTCAGGAACTTCGAGATGCTACTCGGAGTGACCACAGCCTCCAGCTGGTCCATAACCATATTGTGAATGGTTGGCCTCAGCATAAGTCTTCCCTACCACCAGAAATTCAGGCATATTGGAATTTAAGAGGACAAATGCATGTGGAGGAAGGACTGATATATGCTGGAGAGCGACTTATAATTCCCGTTGCCATGAAACAAGAAATGCTTGTTACACTTCATGAAGGACATGCTGGCAGTGAAAAGTGCAAAGCACGGGCCTCTGAAATTATGTATTGGCCTAATATCAACAAGGACATAGAGACCAAGATTGCTGATTGCCCAGTATGTGCCACATATGCGCGTCAGAATCCCAAGGAACCAATGATTCCACATTCTTTGCCAACTCGTCCATGGTCAAAGCTGGGTTCAGATATATTTGAGTTTGCAGGTCATGATTACTTGTTGATAGTTGATTATTATTCAAAGTTTCCTGAAGTTGTCAAGCTGCAAAACAAAACAGCAGCTGGTGTTATTGCAGCAATGAAACCAGTGTTTTCAAGGCATGGTATTCCAGATACCTTAGTTAGTGATGATATGCCTTACAAAAGTGCTACTTTTAAGCAGTTTGCGAAAGAGTGGGGATTCACTTGTGTTTATACTAGTCCCACTTATGCTCAGTCTAATGGTCAAAGTGAGCGATTTGTGCAGTCAATTAAAGGAATGATTAAGAAAGCACAAGCAGAGGGTAAAGATCCTCACATATCGTTGTTAGAATACAGAAATACACCTTTAGCTGGTATAGGTTCATCACCAGCTCAATTGTTAATGAGTAGGAGGTTAAAAGATAAAATGCCTACTAAAAATAACTTGCTGCAATCAAAGGTGGTAAATGATGCACAGTCAAAGCTGCACAAGCGTCAGCAAAAGCAGAAATTCTATTATGATAGAAGTGCTAAATATCACCAGTCATTTAATGTGGGAGATAGTGTTCGTGTGAATTTAGGACAAAATTGGGAACATGCCAGAGTGACAGATATTCATAATACGCCGAGGTCATATGAGGTGACTACTCCGGATGGACATTCATATCGTAGAAACCAACGCATGATAAACAAGTCTCCTGACTCGGTGCCCGAGTCGCATGTTATGGATACTGAACTATCAGATACTAGTATGAGTAAAACAGTGCACCAGAACAATGAAACTGGAAAACAAAAATTGCTCAGCCACAAATGTGTAGGCGTAGTACTCGGGAGAGACATCCACCTAGGTGGCAAGCAGATTATGAAATGAAGTGACTGAATGTTTTTATTTGTTGTTATATTAAAAATATATATATATATATTGTTGATTGTACACAGTGCCTGTAACCCATTTAAATGTCTATGTAAGAAAGACACTGTTGAAAAGTACTGCATTGACTTTGCACTCAGGAAGATTAACATTGACTGTTTACTAGAGGAGACATGTTGTGTTTAATCTTATTGCACTAATTATAAAATGCATTTTGCTGATCAGATACAATCATAACAACTTTTACTTTTATTTGTATTTTATTACTTTAACTAAGGTGGTAATACAATGTTTAAGATAAGCATGTGTATCACATTTTGTAGCTAGACATATAAGTAATTGGTAAGTGATTGTCTGTATGTTAATTAGTTTTTCCTTTAAAAGGGGGGGGGGATGTCACATAGTGGTGCGTCATGCACATTATGTAATATTATCCAATTAGAATAAAGCGCGGCTGTGTGCTGCAGTTGAGTAATTACTAACAACGTGTCGTCTGGTGTGTGCTCCTCCGCTCGTAACATTACACTTAGTATTACCATTGCTCCTTTCCATGCGCTGAAGCTNACCTAGGTGGCAAGCAGATTATGAAATGAAGTGACTGAATGTTTTTATTTGTTGTTATATTAAAAATATATATATATATATTGTTGATTGTACACAGTGCCTGTAACCCATTTAAATGTCTATGTAAGAAAGACACTGTTGAAAAGTACTGCATTGACTTTGCACTCAGGAAGATTAACATTGACTGTTTACTAGAGGAGACATGTTGTGTTTAATCTTATTGCACTAATTATAAAATGCATTTTGCTGATCAGATACAATCATAACAACTTTTACTTTTATTTGTATTTTATTACTTTAACTAAGGTGGTAATACAATGTTTAAGATAAGCATGTGTATCACATTTTGTAGCTAGACATATAAGTAATTGGTAAGTGATTGTCTGTATGTTAATTAGTTTTTCCTTTAAAAGGGGGGGGGGATGTCACATAGTGGTGCGTCATGCACATTATGTAATATTATCCAATTAGAATAAAGCGCGGCTGTGTGCTGCAGTTGAGTAATTATTAACAACGTGTCGTCTGGTGTGCGCTCCTCCGCTCGTAACATTACAATCTTCACGGATGCTAATAAAATATACATTCAAACTACACTGTGTGTGTAAAACGATTAACGATTCAATACAAAATAAGGCTTACGTTTCGAGATACAGGGCTACTATTTCGTGGACATGGTGAATAAAGAAACGGGCGGAAAAATATTTACCTGTTATTTATGCTATATTCATTTTAATATCAGTTTAAATAATTTTATCAATCAATCGAAGGACTTGAAGCTGCTCCTTACTAGTGAAAAAAGTAAAATCGCGGATAAGGAGGTTCTCTAGTCCGGTTCAAACAGAAATGTCTCGTGGATGCTTATCTATATTTAAAGGGAATAACAAATGTTAAGCTAATCATCATATACAGATAATGCTACGTGTAGCACAATGGTTCATCAATGCAATGAGCGGTAAACTTTCGTAGGTTTGATTTTCGTAATTCTACATTTTAAAGCTTGAGAAAAACTCGTGTTTTAAAACCTTAAGGCCTCGGTCTCAACCTGCCAAGCGGCCTCTTGTGGCTTGTTTGCGTCCAAATTTTGCGAAGAATCTCACGTGCCAGGTAAGCCCTTCTTACGAAATTCGAGTCAGTATACAGCCCGTAAGCACACACGGAGGAGATCGGAGGGTACTGGACATGTCCAGAAACTCTTCGAATAATATATTAATAATGTGTAACTTGCTCCCTTCGCATCGAGTTTGCAGTGGGTTTGCAGGTGAGAAGAAAAAGTGTGATCTAAGGCGCACATCGCAAGAAACGAAGAAGCAAGTGTCCCTTGCGTGTTTAGTGCGGTGAATGCCCAAACAACCTAGACTCGAACGTGCGGAGTGGAGTGCGTAATACGTGCATCCCCCCAACGTCAAGAGTATAAAAGACGTGATTCCCGTCGTCCTCCAGGTTCTCTTTGCGTGTTAAGTTAAAAAACGTCTTTTTAACCCATCGCTCAAAATTATTATTTTTTGCATGACATTAAATTAATATTCATGACTTTATATGATATTGTTAACAATTAAACATACATACTTAATTATGGCCTGCGGTCGGCCTGCGGACTGTATAATTTAACCGTATAGGCTGAAATGTCCATATTCAAGGAGAAGAAAGGGGGCGNTTAATAACCAGGACGGATCTAAAGTCTAGGTTGCACTTGTTTAATGTAGGTTATCTAAAGTTCTTCGAAATTGCCACCTGATCGAGGCAGCGAAATTAGGTTAAGGGGTAGAACTTAATATCATTTATAAAACAAAAAATAGTGTTATTCTGTTGTAATTGATTTAATCACATGGTAAACTTTACAGCGGATCAAGCTGGAGGGAACTGTTTCACAAGAGGACGTTGAATGACAGTAGCGAAACAGTTATTAACCTTGCTATTTACATGCGGACTTAGGTCCTGAATATCGAAAACATCACCTGATTTTGCTGACTGACAGTTGTGAAATATCGGTAATAAGTAACATATAAAACTAATTGTAGCTGTTCACAATTGCATTGATAGCAGAAGTAGAGTGTCCGCTTAATTGATATAATGATATGCTACATTTTACATTGAATCAAGCTGGAGGGGAAGACAAATTATGTATAGCAAAACAATTATTAACCTTGATATCGACATACGGACACCCGGGTGTCCATCATACATACAAGTAAAAGCAAACTAACAAACAAAAACAACCAAGATAATTAATTGATGACTGTTTTCTATTAAAGTTTAGGCCTACAACAGAAAACATAAGTAGCAACTGTGAATTTAGTTTTTAATGGTATGTTTGTATTACTATTGGGTATGTTTGTATTACTATTGGGTATGTTTATGTTACTATTGGGTATGGTAAACAGAAGGAATTGAAAGTGCACGGTTGATAAACGTACGTGTTTTAAATCCAATGCTCGTAACTAAAAATGTATATTTTATTATACTGTGTATGATTTACTATATTAAATTAACAAACATGGTTGTACATGTAATGATTTACACATAATTATAGATACGCCACTGGACTGCAGACTGTATGATTTAGCAGTGTAGTCGTAAATGTCAGTAATCAAAGAGGAGAAAGGGAGAAGGTATATGACAAAAAGCTAAAATGCTCTACCCTAACAGAATACTTTTTATCATTTATTATTTTTGGTTTGGTTGAAATCCCATATACATGCACCACGGGTCCTGGTAGATTTTAACGAGTGAAGTGGGTAAAACGCCCCCTCCCCCCCCCCCACCACCACACACACACACACACACTGACTGGCACACTCTCCTCCTGCTATCAATGTAGTTGTACACAGTGACACTGAGTTTAATAAATTATCTTTTACTCCAAACTTGTCACGCAGCAAAACCAGGTGATGTTGTCAATAATCAAGATTCAAATCAAGGCTGTACTAACAGGGGTATGTAATATATATCAGTAATAAAATGTAATTCATGTAGGCGTACATGTAAGCTACGTGTCGGCTTTAAGTCTAATTAGTTTTGTCTTATTTTTTCATCAAAATAAACATACAAAAGATTAGAAAAGAGATACCACTCTAAGCAATTGATAAGGTATATCAAATAGATTTTTTGGAATATTTCACAAAACAGTTCACTTAAATGTGAATGGTGACAGAGTCTATTTTTTCAATCTTGAAAAGAACCAGGTCCTTTTTTGTTTGAACCTTTTTTTAAGCAGCGAATATTCAAATACATAACCAATAAAGGTTCTAACCAAATGTTATGTCTGCTGAAAAAGAGAAGGGGGGTTTGAGATAGTAGTAAGGAGAAAGAGTCATGCTGTGCCTCTAAAATATTAAGAGAGCGAGAGAGGGAGAGACTGGGGGGAGAGAAGGGGGAGGAGGAAAGATAAAGGAGAGAGAAGAGGATGTGGGAAGCATATACTTTTAATTATAATTATTGGTTGAGAGAGCTGGAAAAAAGGGACCAATTAGCACATAAGAAGCATTAATTAATTTACCGTGTTATTTACAAGACACAAACACACACACACACACACACACACACACACACACACAGAGAGAGAGAGAGAGAGAGAGAGAGAGAGAGAGAGAGAGCACGTAGTAAGCCTCAAACTATACCTCTAAAACATCAATCTATCTGCGGTCTTCTACTGGTATTGCTTCAAAAAGGTTCTTTAAGGAAGTCTTCTACCCTCAGTCAATAAAAATACGTCATTGGGATTCCATGCCCAGTGAGTTCTTGCACAAAGACGTTTTGTCAGATTTTTCCATCATGAAGCCGGGTCCTTTTACATTTTAAGTCTTAAAAAGTGACATTCATTAAGCTGCATTAGGATTTTCCTTTGATGGAGTAACAAATGGCGTCTCTCAAATGTTGTCAGGTGATGTTGTTGACAGTCCTAAAAATATTTTTAGTGTCACGTACGTAGTCATCTGGTACTCGAGCTCCTTATTTTGAAAAACGATTGCTTTTATCGTAAAATTTGCGCTACCATTACCTTTGCAGCAAGTGATGTTCACTTTGATCTGTTTTTGCAAACTTTTCAGTTATCGATTACTTCCAGCAATATTCGGCATGTGTATAGCATCTCGACTTCACCTTAAAATGATGAGACTGCGCACAGAAGCTCGTTATGGCGAACGATAACATGGGTGCTGACCTCTGACACAGGCTCTTATCTGAATAAATATTGCGGTGTACGGTATATGGATGACGCATTGACCATGAATCAGATTGAACGGACTGAAGCCGGGTGTTATCTATTTAATACCCACGATGTTCATTATATCACCAATTAAAAAGAATAGGCGTATGACAGCATTACATGTATGACGTATATGAAAGGTTTGCCGCGTATAATATCTGCGCCTGTATGCTGACGTCTGTTTAGCCTTAGCAGCCCTACGGTTTAAACTGTGGGGTGTGTTTGTTTGTTTGTTTGTTTTTTTCTGTGTGATGAGCCTCCGGAAATAACGTCTGTGTGATATAAAGAGAAGAGTGCAGAAAGTGAGAAATTATTTTTTAAAATATGTCAAGTTTAAGACATTTAGATCGGACAAGTGATCTATTATTTAGCAAGACACTTGCGTTCGCTAGAGGGAAGTTGGACATTACTCTAACGGTCCAACAAATAGAAAGCTCCTGTGACCGGTCAATGCGTTGTGAACGTGGCCAGTTTTCATGTGATTTGTTGGTATATAGCATGGTCAGTACAAAGAAGATCTATTAAAAACAGACTTTATGGGTTATTTATTTATTTAATTTTACGCGTTAGATCGATTTATCAATTTTTCTTCTCAAATGAATGACATTTAAGTGTCGTCAGGGGACCACTGAAAATTATATTGACGATACTTATAAAAATCTGGAATCATTAATTCAACCCCAGGTATTACCACAAACAAAATCATTGTCAGTATGGACGACGACACGAAGTTGAACTTGCCAAGACTTGAAAAATAATTGTTTCGATCACATTGCTAATATTATTGATAAGATAAAACAAAATGCTCCATAACATGGCCTCTTGCTAATAATATTGATAAGATAAAACAGAGTGCTGCATAACATTGTTTAATTGTCTCACTAAATAGTATGGGAATTTTAAAATCACTGTCTTTCATGTTTTGGATTAAAGAAGAACCTTAAGTGTTCCATTTCATTAGCACAAATGCTAATATAACGACGATGTATAAATTGCAACAATTGCAATCCCAGATACATGTATGAAATTGCAAAATCGGTTTCTCAAATTTCTTTCTTTGATTTAGCATTGAAGGTAAATGTTAGAACGTCAAATATTGCATTCAAAATTTTGCAAGAGCAACATCTTATTTAATATTATTACCACAACTTCTATATTATATTATATTATATTATATTATATTATATTATATTATATTATATTACAGAACAGCGCAGATATCATTCAGTTCACACTACAGGGCACTATGAGGGACCCTATACTCTGAACAAGACCTACAACCATCTAGAGGGCTGTTTCACTAGCAGAGGGGGTTCACAGTGGGACCAGACACAAACAGGAGTAATATTACAAAACTTTGTGTTCAATACTGGCAAGCCAGATGCAACGTTCTCAGTCCGCGATACAAGTACCTTGAGGTAAATAAAAAAAGAAAGAAAAAACTAGTTCCTTTGTCGAGATCACTGCAAAACTCCACGTGCGGTACTAGATATTCACATTGCAGTTAGAACACAACTATAATAAATCATTAACAGGTGGGTGAGTAACACGTGGTGTTCCCTTATAGAACTTGATTAGCACCAGATAAGCTGGCTGTCCAAATTGGCTGAGTGGATAGATTTGTATGCTCGTTTTGATGGCCTACTGACTAGGACGGTGGACTCAGACGCAAACGGTCTGTACTGGAGGGGGTTGTCCGGGGAAAATTGCCCGGGAGGGGATTGTCCTGATACCCCCAGTACCCATCCTTTTTCATAAAAAAACGAAACCGATCAACCCACACTTACATACATACACTGGTTGGGAGTTAAATATAAGCTGATATTAATCTGTGTTTGACGCTCCCGACCAATCAGTGGGCGTCAAAATCTGTGATTATGTTACATAATATTAAATCATTTATCACTCCCAGATTTGACTGCATTGATGGTTTATTAAATCATCTATCATATCCAGGTCTTGCTGCATTGATACATTATTAAGCCATCTATTACCCCCAGTTCGGACTGCACTGGTTACTTATTAAATCACTTTTATTTTATGTACATACTCCAAACGATAATGATGGGCGGTAAAAGAATAACATATTAAAACCACGCCATACTGCAGTTGCTGTCTGTCTTGAAACTGAATTCAAGTACTTAAATATTACCAAGAAAATATATTGTCACTTTGTAAATTTTACAGCAATTACAAAAATAAGTGTATACTCCAGAACAAAATTCACTATGTAAAATGTAAATAATTCACAATTTTTTTTCTTCAAAGCACTATTTCAACTCGTGGGACACTTTGAAGATTAATAGTTTTGTGATAATAAGATAATAATTGTGTTAATCGTATGATCTTTCATGGCAAAATATAGAAAATTATTATAAGGCTTCTTATGTTAATCTTCTCCACAACTAAATTTTGTCCTACAAATTTTCAAAAATAATTAAAAACAAACTATAATCACCTTAAAGTCTAATACCTGTATAAGCAATGATGTGCAAAGTAAAACCCATAAAAGCGCTTAATTTTAATTGTACATTTTCTTAAGGAAAATTTTAATGTGTTACCAGCTAATTATAAAAAGTTTCAAAATATTGAACCTACATAATATGTCCAACACATGTTAAAAATTCATTAAAGGAACAGTAGACATTTAAAAGGCCTAAAATTAAAACAATCAACTAGTGACTTTTTAACAAATGCCATATACAAGTTTAAAAAATAACGGATAGACTTTTAAAAATTGTTTACATATCTTTTAATGTCACTTTTTTGTTACTCACTAGTAATTTTTTCAATTATTATGCAATGATTTCAATTATCTAATCCTCGGGTTGCAAGTTTGGTAATAATAATAATAATAATAATAATAATAATAATAATAATGATAATAATGACCTTGTGTTTCAAACATGCAAAAAGAAAGTATTTTAAAAACCATATATTCCATCCATCCAACTTGGACACACAGTGATATATACATTTACACTTTATTTTTCACAGACACTAAAATTTCATGAACAGCTTTATCCCAAGTCAACAAATAACTATCTAATTCCTTAATAAAAACAGTCCTTATTCATCGATATTCATGCACATTTTCTAGTAGCCTACATGATGTTCACACACTAATAAACACGTGTGTAAATAATGTAAATATATGTGTAATGGAAAAGGAAAACAAATTACTAGATGAAATAAAGTACTAAAATCAGCACATCATTTCATATACAAATATACAAAAAAGCTATGTTTATATAATTGAGTCAAAATAAAATGTCATGACCAACCTAGACGCTCTTCGCATTTAAGGCTGCCATCTGGCTGAGGGAGACTCTCCTTAAGGAAATTACCCCTAAGATCCCAAGATGATACATGCTGGTAAGAGCTGACAATGGCTTCTATCAGCTCACTGAGGCGGTCAACTCTGCCCAGGTCATTACAGGTCATGTCAATCTTCATTCCAGTCTGCTCTGACACTGTACTGAGAGATTGTGTCAATGCTATCAGTGGACTGGTGATACCGTGGTGCCAACCCAAGGGATTACAACTAAATGAGAAGTACTTCAGCTTAGTGGTGTGTATCACACCTTGGCTCAGTTCACGCACGGCTTCACAGACATCCTGACATCTGTCATAGCCTGTTGTATCTTCACCCCTAGGACATGTACACCTGTCAGGCCCACACCTATAACTCCACTTGAATACCTTTTTCATGAATACCCAGTCCAGTCCCAGATGTTCCAGCCCTGGCACATGGTGAAGGTTCCTCCCAAGTAGTTGTACACCCACGGCACAAAGATCGATAGATTCAAAATGTATATGAGTCAAATCATTGCATGTTATAGGCAGTGTGCCTAGTACAGAAGGGAGGTCTTTTGGCATTCCTTCACATTCTGCCTCTGTAGCCTTAATGTACTTTAAGTGCTGCATCTGTGCGATCACCTTGCAGTCCTGATCATTTATGTATCTGACATCCAGATGTAGTAGTTTTCCAGGGTATGGTATTGATGATACTGCTCCACTACAATTTCCACCTATGTCAAGTCTTTGAAGATTGGGAGCTTTAGATAAAACATGCTTTAAGGCACATCTGCAGTCATCACAAATGTCACATACATCCTGCCACAATACCGCTACTAGTTCACGGAACATGTCACACTCACTGAGTAAAGATAATGCATTGTGATATGCTTCACAACTAACAGTATACTCGTCTTTATCACTATGAACGATGATGGCACTCAAACCAGAACATGCCTGTGGACTGCACATACTGTCCCGCAAGACCTGCTGGAATCTGGGATCAGAGTGCTCAAATGATCCAGGTATGTAAAGCACCGTGTGGCAGGAGAAAAGCTCAGGTGGCAGCACTGTTTCCTGGGGACAGTAGGCATACCAGTGTTCTAGGAGGAGATCATTACACCAATTTATACACTTGCCATCAAAGACATAGTCATGGCCCATGTACCTATATATATAATTTCGTTTTTTATCTTTGTTGTGAAGACCTTTACCTCTGCGTAGCACTTTGGTAGTTGCTTTCTTTGATAACCCACACAAAAAGCGCAACACAAAGCTCATGTCATAGAGTTTGTCAGTGGTGTTTAAGTTTTCCAAAAACTGATCTAAAATTTTACTATCATTTTGGTCTAATTTCCTCGCCAAATATTTTGCCGCAAAAAACTCCTGGATGGTTTTGTGTGGAAATGTTACCTCCTGTTTAACATCAAGGTTACTGTGTACCTTAGACTTGCTGAGGAGACCTAAACTGTACAATTCGCTGATATTTGGAATTGCCTGTAGGTCTTTTTCATTAAATATGAGACCCCCATCTGGCTTAACGAGTCCATCGTAAGCCAGCTTGCCAAGGCCGATAAAAGTTTCTTCAAATTGTCCAATAGATTCTTCTGTTTCATCCTTTGTCCTGATGTCGTATCTTCGTCTTAAAAGCATTTGTATAAGTGTCTTGTATAGCAGTGTGTATGAAGTTGGGAGTGAATCTGTCTTGGCATCACTTTGTTGATCTTCTTGCCACATAAGACAAAAGAACAGTAAAAGTATTGGGATCTTTACCAACGACTCCAGGTTCTTTCTCATTATGTAGTGTAAGAGACCATTCCCTATTGACTCTGACTCATCCAGAGACTCAGAATCGAAACTATCATCAAACTCCCATTCCAAAAGATCATAACATTCCATGTTTTCATCAAAGAATTTAGCAACATATTTACGTATGTTGTCACCTGTCAGACCGGTAATTTCATACACACTGTCCGGTATTTGTTTCTTCATCAATTCTTCTGCCTTCCATGGGCGTGTTGTGATGATGGTACATACATTCTGGTATTGTTTGCAATAAATGATGTCGGTTATTTCTTCAGAAGTCTTGGGATCGTACTCATCATAGCCGTCAAAGACCATTAGCACATGGTCACTGTCATAGTCCAGAGCATGTACTATTTCATCTACCACTTCTTTCTTATTTTGATTAGAAGGAGAAATTTGTTTTTCAATTGCTCCCTTCAGTGTTTGGCTATGTCGAATATTGCGTAGATTTATAATTAAAAGATGTTTATAATTTGAAAGTGCCCGGTCACATTCCTTTAAACCCAATGTATCATTTGCCCAGTCTGTTGCCATCTTTTGTGTGAATGTGGTTTTGCCTATGCCTGCTTTTCCTCGGACCAATATCCTTTTTGGTCTCGTACCTTGTTTGGTATCTTTAAATATTGATGTATAGCTCTGGATTGGATCAGAACTGGTACCTGCTGGTTTCCTTTCCTCTTGTACCCACTGCAGGTTAACATAGACGTCATCTAAGTGCATTGTGTCGTCGGGGTCCCAGGGAAGACGCTGTATTTGACTCATGTATTTAATGTAGAAAGACGCTATTTGGTTTTTACTACTGCAAGCAGTCGCTTTTTCTGCTAACAAATCTGCAAGTTCTTTCTTATTGTGTTTTCTCAAAACATCAACAAATGTTTCAAATGCACGAGGACCACATTTTGGTAGAATACGAAGAAATTCAAAAGCTTGATCATTTTCTGCTTTGTGTGCCAGTACCTTTTTTGCATTACGTTCACTGATGATTCCTCTGTCCACCATGTCTGGGACAATGTCTTCAACTTGGAGATCTTTTATTAGCTCGGGACCCATTTGAACCAAGAGGTTTTTGTGTGTTGGACTCATTACAGGTGCCTGCAAAATTGAGATAAATCCAAAATCTATTTCAGCTGATATCAGGAATTAAAATGCACTTCTGATAATAATAATTGTTATATTAATTACCACTTCCCATGCCCGTGTGTATATATTCGAGTCAAATACGTGTAGTCAGATATCAACATGTACGGAGTTATAGGCAAATGTGCGCCACACCTAATATTATTTTTTCAATAATCATATATCAATGAATCATGATCAAGTACAAAAGGTTATTTCATTAGAATATGGACACAGACAATTGTTTAAGATGTTTAAATATCTATATTTAAGTAGTTATTTCTAAGGGCTAAAATTCGTGTAAGCATTTTATAAAAATTTTAATTATAAAGCATGGTAACTAAAGAATATGAATGTACCTTAGAGTAGGTGTCTGGTTTGGTTGTAAGAATACCGCTAGCTGCAAGAGAAAATAAAAAACAATGTTGCCTGTGTTTCAGGTAAATAAGAGCACTAACCTCAACACAGATATCACTTGTCCAGAACACATTTTTTCACTCTAGGCGAAGTGATATTTTAGCCCGACACATGTAGGGCATTTTCCAAACTGATGGTTTTCTGTGACCACATTAACTACAACATATTAATGTAATTAAACAACCACAGTTTGCACACTATGCATTGATTACTATGATTATTTTTAAATATCTTGTCGTCTAAATTAATGCAGATACTGGTCAGTGTTGGGCTAATTGACTTGTTAATAAAATTGCTCAAGGAGCAAAGCAACTTGCAAAGCTGTAAATTTAGCTTGCTAAAATACATGTATTTTTGACGTTGGTCGCATGTCCTCCTACATTTTTTTTTCATTTGGTATCTTAACATACACATTCTGTAGTCTCAAAACGTGCACCAATAAAGCGAAATCCATAACATATCATCTAATCATATCAATACTGTACAAAATACTACTGTGACATTCCTATCACTGTATTGAAGACAAAGATTTTTTGAAAAAGATCTTGGAAACATCTATATGACTGTGAATATTGTGAATATCTCGCATGCGCACACATATTATTGAGCTGTACATGTACCTGCAATAGTTCCCACATCAACACTTGTAGGACTAGACTCTGTAGTCTGTGGAATTTCCTTTTCTGTTGACGATGAAGGATTGAAAAGTTGGGATGAAGGTACAGCAGGGTCCCCTTGCGTGTCTGACATCACTGTTTGAAAGAAATACACAACATGGTACTTTGGCAGAAGACTAAATAAACAATAACAGCGGCAAATATTTCATTATCCCACATGTAGAAAAAGTAATCTTTATTTTGTAAACAAAACTTATTTCTTATATTCATTTCATAAGAATACAATTATAAAGTTGTTATCTTCATGTACATATAAAACAAAAAAAGTGGGACGAGAATGAAATGAAAAAAAAAACTATAATGATAATCTATGTCAATCATTAGTAGATAAGATATATCCCTATGTATTGATGTATCAGTTCTCTTGCTCTCGGTGTTTATCAGAGTATATTACCTGTCATCTTCTGAAGTTCACTTCTGTCGCGATCTTTGTCATTAATCACCTGAACTTTTTCCTGAGTTTCTGCAAACAAAGAACAATGAGGCGTCAAGCTTAAGCATTATAAATCAAAATGAACATTTTTAATTTTTTTCAGTTATAACCTTTTATTACTTTCAACTTCTCCACAAAAAAAATGCTGGAAATTAAATCGCCCCTGAAAATAAAATGTACATCACTTAGGCATTATGTTGTGTATAAATATGAGTGCTAATATTAGAACAGGGTACATACCTTTTGTCGTCTGAACTTGTTGATCTTGGCCAAGACACCGTTTCTTCAGCTCCGATTGACCATCAAACAACTGTGTAACTCTTTCCGGGTTTCTCTTTAATCCAGCTCCCATTGTATCCTTCACATCTTTGTTTTTACCACACCATTCTTCCATTATGCCCTGGTATTTCCTGAGTAAATCGGCATCAAGAGGTTCAGACAATATGGCATCATAATTCTCATTTGTGAACTTAGTAGAAAGAGTCAAGAGATTGGATTTTAACCCTAAAAAATATGCCCTGAAATCTTGATCGCTGATCGCTGCGTTGTTTGCATGGCCATACACAATATTTTGATATCTTTTTATTCGTCCTATAGTGGCTTCTCTTGATGTGTCTGTGTCAGAGGGGTCGTCCCATGCATTAAACTGAGGATGAGGGTTCAACGAGGTGATGTTCCTCAGCAAAAACACAGTCAGTGTGAGGTCTAAATCACCAACAGTTACTGATGTGGAGGGATTTCCAGCGGGATACAGCTGTTCCCGTTGTTGATGATTAATGTACTTTGGTGATAATCTAAACAATACAGTCTTGACAGTTCCATCTCCAAGCACCTTGTTCAACAACCCTGTGTTGGGGTCAAATAAATTGGGATACTTTTTTCTCAGCTCTTTCTGGAGAACATCCTGCACTACTTTCAGGGCATAATCTACAATAAGAATGCTCATGCGAAAGAAATTCTCCTGGTCAGAGTCGGTGTATGTTTTTGCTGTTGCCATGGTACTTGTCACTAAGACGCGCTTTCCTGCCTCATCTGGAATGTAAAGACTAAGTCAACACACGCCTCATGTTCAAAAATCCCATAATTCTGTACGTAAATTATTTATATTTCTAATATGTTCAATATGAATAAACTTAAAACTAGCATGTTTTATTAATTATGCTTCCATACAAACTTCAATTTAATATTGATGTTACAATGTGTACATTCTAAATGGATGTCTGCTTTTTTTTCACACCTGTACTCACAAACCTTTTCTGATTCGAGGTCGTCGATTACATGCACCCATATAGAATATTTCTATATTTCTTAAATATCGGTAATTGATACTCTAATCTAATAATCCAATACCCAAAGGCCATATTTCCATCAACACTGTGAAGTGCTAGAGTATGGATAAGCAGAAATTGGCCTCTAGACCGTATAAACATGTAAATTAAGTTGTATCACAAGCGACGAATACTTTTTTCGTCTCTGATACTCCTATCCAAAATATTCAAAGTTACTTTATCTCCACTGCTAATAAAATATACATTCAAACTACACTGTGTATGTAAAACGATTAACGATTCAATACAAAATAAGGCTTACGTTTCGAGTAACAGAGCTACTATTTCGTGGACATGGTGAATAAAGAAACGGACGGAAAAAACTTTTACCTGTTATTTATATTATATTCAATTTCAATATCAATATCAGTTTAAATAATTTTATCAATCAATCAAAGGTCGTGAAGCTGCTCCGTACTGGTGTAAACAGTAAAATCGCGAATAAAGAATTTCTCTATTCCGGTTCAAATAAAAATGCCTCGTGGATGCTTATCTATAGTTAAAGGAAATTACTAATGTTAAGCTAACCATCATATACAGGTAATTCTACGTGTAGCACAATGGTTCATAAATGCAATAAGCGGTAAACTTTCGTAGGTTTGATTTTCGTAATTCTACATTTAAAAGCTTGAGAAAAACGCGTGCTTTAAAGCCTTAAAGCCTCGGTCTCAGCCGGCCAAGCGGCCTCTTGTGGCCTGTTTGCGACCAATTTTGCGAAGAATTTCACGTGCCAGGCAAGTCCTTCTTACGAAATTCGAGTCAGCATACAGCCCGTAAGCTTTCATGGAGCATACTGGACATGTCTAGAAACTCTTCAAAAATCTGTTAATTTATTAAAATGTGTAACTTGCTCCCCTCGCATCGAGTCTGCAGTGAGAAGTGCAGGTGAGAAGAAAAAGTGTGATCTAAGACGCACATCGCAAGAAATGAAGGAGCAAGTGTCCTTTGCGTGTTAAGTGCGGCCAATGCCCAAACAACCTAGAATCGAACGTGCGGCGGGAGTGCGTCACACGTGCATCTTCCCAACGTCAGGAGTATAAAAGACGAGCTTTTTGCCGTCCTCCAGGTCCTCTTTGCATGTTAAGTTAAGAAACGTACTTTAAACCCATCGCTTAAAATCATTATGTTTTGCATGATTTTAAATTAAAATATGTGATTTTATGTAAAGTTGTTAACACTTGAATATACATACCTAATTCTGTATATACGCTGTCGCCCAGCCGTATAGGCTGAAATGTCTACATTCAAAGAGAAGAATGGCAACTAGCTAAATTGCTGCTAACAGAATATAATTTATCATTTATCTTTTAATTGAATGAAATACCAAATGTTTGTACCAAGGGACCTAAATGATTTTACCACCAGAGGTGGGCTCAGCCCCCCTCCTCCCCCCCCCCCCTTCAACTCATTACGCAGCCAATAGTTTAATAAGTTATATATAACCAAATTGGCATAACTTCAAAATTGTTACCAACCGACACAGCAAAATCAGGTGATGTTGTCAATAACCAGGACGGATCTAAAGTCTAGGCTGTACTTGTTTAATGTAGGTTATCTAAAGTTCTTCGAAATTGCCACCTGATCGAGGCAGAAAAAATAGGCTAAGGTTTAGAACTTAATATCATTTATAAAACAAAAAAAGTAGTGTTGTTCTGTTGTAACTGATTTAATGACATGGTAAACTTTACAGTGGATCAAGCTGAATGGGACTGTTTCACAAGAGGACGTTGAATGACAGTAGCGAAACAGTTATCAACCTTGCTATTTACATGTGGACTTAGGTCCTGAATATCGAAAACATCACCTGATTTTGCTGACTGACAGTTGTGAAGTATCGGTAATAGATAACTTATAAAACTAAGTGTAGCCGTACACAATTGCATTGATAGCAGAAGTGCGGTGCCCGCTTAATTGATATAATGATATGATACATTTTACATTGAATCAAGCTAGAGGGGAAGACAATAGCGAAATAATTATTAACCTTGATAATTACATGCGGACACACGGGTTTCCATCATACATAAAAGACAAACACAATCAAGACAATGAAATGATGACTGTTGTCTATTAAAGTTTAGGCCTACAACGGAAAACAAAAGTAGAAAATGTAAATTTAATTGTTAAATGTCGTACACTGTATGTTTATATTTCACCCTACTTCTGCTACATGTATCAGCGCAGTTGTACACAGTTTAGTTTAATACGTTATCTATTACTCCAAAATTATCACGCAGCAAAATCAGGTGATGTTGTCAATAATCAGGACTTAAGTCTAGGCTGTACTAATAGGGGGCTTGTAATATCAGTAATAAACTGTAATTCGTGTAGGTGTCAGCTACGTGTCAGCTTTAAGTCTTATTAGTTTTGTCTTTTTTGTTCAAAATAAACATACAAAAGATTGAAAAAAATACCACTCTTTGCATTTGCTGTAACCAAATAGATGTTAGGAATGTTACACAAAACAGATCGTTAATTCAAATGTATATGTTGACAGAGAAGAGAAGAAGGTATTGTGATGGTACTTAAGAGTAAGACCCATGCTGTGCCTCTAATACCTGTATATCAAGAGAGCGAGAGAGGGAGAGGCTGGGGGAGAGAGGGAGAGGCTGGGGGAGAGAGGGAGGGGCTGGGGGAGAGAGGGGAGGGGCTGGGGGAGAGAGGGAGGGGCTGGGGGAGAGAGGGAGGGGGGGGGAGGGGATGGGGGAGGGA